AAAACCTGAATGACAGGCTGCCCAAGCAGCTTACTTGCATTGTCGTGACCGATATCATTTGCCCATTGATATCTGGTCGGCTAAGCACACTTGAATCCTGATAAATTCTATGAACCAATTCTGGTAAGTGATGTAGAATATGGTAATACTGCTCAACAAAAGCATTGCCAACGACTTGGGCACTGGGAGTGGTTGGGGGGTTTGCTGTCTGCAAAGCCATCTGCCAAGAAAAAAATGAATCAATATAAAAACCTCGATGTCTATGAGATCGACTAAAATAAGGCTAAGATTTGGCATGGCATAGCACGATCATGTCAAATTGCATAATATTGTAAGTCAGAGAAAAGCAGAAGCATGATACTCCATCACAATCATGTCTAATAAATTTTATGATAGTAAGAACCAATCATAAGAACAAATAGAGTCTAATGAATTTAATCTTCGGAAAACTAGGATGTCTACAAAAAACTTATATCCGGTACCATGACTCCTGCACACATGCACTGCTTACCTTGAACCAATTATGCTGCAGATATCCATACAATGGGACAACTTTACCATAACCAAGCATTCAAGACAGCATAAAACCTTAATGTTATTCTAGAGAAGCAATGGAAATACATTGGGAAGATGAAAATGCTGACAGAAGAAAAATAAAAATTAGTTAACCATAAAGAATTTTCAATATCAATTGCTAAGAATACTAACAACCAACGGTAGACTTGATCACTTGTTATTCACACTTCAAAGCAAAAAGAATAAGAAAAAGGCTTGATAGTTACTATGCCCACGTTCTCCGAGGATAGGTTCAATACACAGTATGGTTGCATTCTACCAGAAACCCCCAAAGCATAAATGAAATAATGAACACATTCTTATGAAAACAAGAACCAGCAAGTTTGTGCCAAGGGAATGAAAAAAAGTTTGGATCTTTACATCAAAAGCAGCACATTCCATGGATCCATAGAGCAGGAACTGACAAACTAAACCGTAACCTCCCCCGGAATCACTAAATTGAAAGTACCCCCAAAAAAATTAATTGATAATAATAAATCAGCCACTATTACTCTAACATTTAAACCAGCACTAAAAATGCTTTTAAAAAACTCAAAGTAAATCCACTAAATTCATGAAAGCCTAACCATTATAAAGTCAAATTAAAAAACCCCACAATCAGAAACGACATTTAAGAAATATATATACCAACCACAGAAAGAACCCACATGAACAATTTCCCAGTAGAATAATAAGCATGTTTCGAATGAGGCAGAAAATGTATTTAACGAAGTAATGAAAAGCGAAACCAAGGATGATCTGTGAGAAGAGGAGCTAGAAAATACCTGCAATGGAAATGCTGAAGCTTGGAAAATCTTCGATTTGATGGAAAGGAGTGAAATAGTACAGCGTTTTGGCTTGCAGAAGGAGAGCGAGGGAGAAGGAAAGAACAACAGGTAGCCCACAAACAAAGGGAGATACTGAAAGCTAACTGGGAACTGTGAATGTATTTTTCTTTCACTTGGAGAGGACGTTGGCGGCCCGGTTCTGTTTTTATGGCTTTTGATATTAAAGGTGTTTATTTATTTAAGTCGCTGACTTATGTCCTTAAACGTTTCAA